CAGACATTTGTGATCCAGAATCACCAATGACCAATATTGGGGATGTAAAATTAGTTTAGTCTTTCAATTAATATTTTCAGGGAATATATTTAATTTAGTAAAAATTCATAAGTTATAAAACATCTCATTTATGCTCAATTGAGATGTACAGAATCAGTATCCCATCCTTCAGAAAGCAGTGGTGAAAAATTGATTGTGTCTCAAACTACTTGAAGAGATGAGTGTAATTCTGGCCGGTAATTTGAGCAAATATTATGGATTTTCAGACCAAGATTAGGTTTTGTTACCAATTCAATCCAAGTCATTAAGATTAGGAACTTTCTTACACTGATCCCTTATGTGTTACCAAATTACAGTAATCTTCTAAGAACACATCCCCTAAAATTAGCATAGCTTTATCATTAGTTTTATGGTTATTTCTAGCTTAACACATACAAATACAATTTTCAACAAACTCCTAGGTTGTTCCTGCTTACACTGTTTTCATGCTCTGCAGTTCACTGAAGAACTAGGGTAGAGCTAGGATGTTGACCCATTGAAAATTGGACTCTTGGCATATTTCAGAATGACTTCATTTAATTTTGTGTTGTCAAAGGCAGCAGAACATTTTGTCCGGCCGTATAAACTGAGACTAACACAGACAGAGGGAAATTCAGCTGTCTATGCAGTCTCTTACTCTGAATGTAATTGCATGGAAATAAGCTCTGAGGTAACCAAAAATTGGCAGCTTTCTGCCTATAAGTATGGTTGCAGCTAACATAAACCACAGGCTGCACTCTAACAACACAAATTGGCCATTGAGTTTTGTCAGGAACTCCTGTATTAGTCCTTAAAAACTATAAGATTATAAAGCCTTTCAGATACTTTGGATTTGATTAGGACTAATCTATCATCTGATATTGCAATAACAAAATCATGTTTAGGCTTAAAAATGCAGTTAAAGGATACTAATGTAGTTCCCTGGTTTTATTTTTTGGACAGTTCCCAAGTTGTGCACTATGAATCCAGCTTTTTTTATTTGTTTCTAAGGATGGATTTGATTCAACAGTTTCCAATTAGCTCACATCTTGTTCCTATTGACAATGTTTTCAATAGGTAAGCTACTATGCAAATGCTAGCTCTGTGTTTTGATAGGACTCCTTGTTTATTTGAATCAAAATATTTGAACATGTTAAAAGATACAGACAGAAAATGCTGATTGAGTAAATAATGCCAAGAAAAAACTTCAGAATAACAGAAAAATGCTTACCTATATTTGTTTCTACATTTATTAGCCACAGCCTGCCTCAAATTTTGAATACGGAGCTGGGTTTTTTTCTTCTCATTTGGGACTCTTTTCTTTATTGCTGATTTTTTTTTTTTTGTAAGCTCAGTTGTCACTTTGTTGTCGCATCAGCTTCAGAATCTGACAGACATTTGGGATAATGCTGAATCTGACATGCAGGAAGTAATGGGGTCAGAGGTGATGGTCACATGCATTTTTTTTTCATTTTCTTTTTTGGTGCTAATATTAGAAAACTAATTGAGAATTTAAAATCCAACATGAAATATACATTTCACCGTGATTTTAGAAATCACTGCCTCTTGGAAAGATAAATAACTGCTACTCTTCATATTTGCTATAAAATGCAAATTGCAGTTGTACTGCAAACCCTCTTATCAATTACACTTGTTCTTGTAGCTATCACAAGATTTTATTTCACAAATAAAACTATAAAGGCCATTATTAGAGAGATCTGTTGTGAGAATTACATAATTGAAGTCGTGAGAACTGCTGCACTTAAAAAAAGTTTAAGGCATTTGTTGAATTTAATCTTGATCTCCCATCTATTTTGCTTCTGTTCCTTTTGTGTTTCTTTGTTGTCAGTACTGTTTATTCATTAGAAGAAAGTCAATATTCTATATCCTACAACTGGATCCATGGATTGATTCTTGGAGTAGCTTTTCAGAGGCTATGGGCATTAGTCTTAATGTTAGTCGCATTTGAAATTTAGTTGGTCTGCTGCCCAACAAGTCCACATAACCCTCTTTTCTGTTGTTACCATATAAACATTAACAGATTTGGAGTCTAAATGCTATTGTGGAGCTTTTTCCTAACCTCTTACATGCATTCTACTGCATGTTTCTAATTATTCCAAAGTTTACAAAGAATAGAGTTCTCCTTTACTCCATTTGTCACAACATAATATTGTTATAATGATATAAAAGCATAATGATCGAGGAAAACCAAAAGTATGCTGTGGTGTGTGGGACTTCAACTGTATCAAAACTTTACAACTCAGTACAACAATTTAACTTGCTCTGAGCAGTCTCAAATTTGGTTTCTTTGATCAAATAGTGCCCTTTAATTAATCAAGACTTGGAAAGAAAGAGTGTTGTTTTTTTAATTACGAGAGACACATTGGTAATTACACCGTCTTATTTTTGACAGATATTTACTAAAGGTTTGGTTAGCTTGTTGTTTTTCAGCTCAAAGTTGTGCCCACAATGTAATCTACAAATGGATAGTTTCTGTTGGAAGAATTTGTACTTTGTGTCTTTTTATTGTTTGAGCAGGGAAGGAGGACTGCACCATTTGTGCTGTGCATGCAATGCTGTTTTACGGAAAGCATTTGTTGAATTGCCTCAAAGAATTAATTTTGTTTTTTACTCCAAATGCAGTAAATGTAACCATTTGTGTTCTGTTGCAGGCCAACAGATAAAATGACGATGACCGGATAAAACGCATTACATATTCTAAAAGTTAGATGGTTGCAATTAATATCTGACTCTATTAGACTTAAAAATCAAATTTCACTTTTACCTTGACTCAAATTCATTTAAAAATAGTTTTTAAAATTTTTGTGCTGTTTTTTCCCCCAACTTTTTGCCATTAACTTTTACAAAAAATTTTTTAAATTCAGTTAGTTTATATTGTCATCTCATAACAAATGTCATGTCAAGGTACTTCGCAAAGAATTTTCAAATCAATCAAATATTTTTTTGTTATATTTTGCGTATTTTACTCTAACATGTCTCGTATCTTCTCTGCATGCATTTTGGACCCTACAAATGTGTATTTTGTAACATAAGATATACATTTAACAGAAAGCTGGCATTAAATATTATTTGAACATTTATCATTTTTAGGCATGACAGAAAACTGCTCAACACTTTTATGATCACAATAAAACCGCTTTTTATATCTCGATACATTTATAGTAAAAATATTCGCAAGCAGCAATATTTGACACTATTACTCTGCACTAACCTGTTAAAAACCAGCTCATTATTCTATGGTTTGCATCATACAGAACATGTTTACTGAAATGGCCTTGCTAATGTCGCACCAAATTCAACTCTTTTCTTCTATTAGGTGGATCCATCAAATTCTTGTATTTGAGGTAATTTTGTTACAATTTTAGAGAGGAGTACACAATGATTAACTCATTCTTTTCATACCAAGGATAAGAGCACCCTTCCTAGGGCACAATATGCATATTTTTTTTCCTGAAATTATTATTATTTTTTTATTTACTTGCTTTATGATGTAGCCGGCTGCAGCATATGCGATATTTGTCCTGTGTTCTGACATGCAGTCCTCACTGTTGCATACCTGTGGGAGGTGTCACATATAGGTACTCGAAACTGTCTGTCAGGTACCAGGATATGAGTCACTGAAAGCAGTATGCACTCTGATATGATCTGTAGCTCTGACACAAGTAAACCGTACTGAAGTAATTTTAACGAAGAGGCCAAATGTGACAGAGAAATGCGTTAGTGTTGAGATCAGCAGCAGTTGATGACACATACACAAATTTCTACACTACACACTCTCATATTTCAGTTTACTCTTCAGGACTGATGTAGCAATAATCTTTGTGTATTTAATTTATTGATTTATAAAGGACGGCGCTTACTCTCCTACTGGGTGTGGCACGACTCACACAGTGAGCCATTGGTGGATTAAGGTCCGGCACACTTCCTTTAGAACTTGCTGCGTTAAACTCAAGGTCCACGGGCCAGATCTGGGCCTCTATAACTACTTATGTGACTCTCGAGGGCCACATAAACAGAACTTGAATATAAAAGTTGTATGCTTTGAACATTATTCCATCCATCAAATCATAGAAATCTGAAACGGTTGCTGAAGATGTAAGGCTTACATGCAGTAGAGAATTTATGTCAGAAAATGGTTTTTTCCCCCTATTTTAAATCGTATACCAATAGTGGTATGGTGTGGTTAAATTAGAGGTCGACATAAACGTAAAATTGCATTGTAATATTTGATCAATATCACAATGAGGAATAAAGTAGCAAAATTATTTGTATCTTTTTGGTTGTAAATCTATTACTATATGTAATTGCAGAAAATGCTACTCTAAGAGTAAAAAGTGATTATACAACAGGAGTTTTTTCTTGTTTTTTCTTTTTTTATACAATACAAGCACACAGTACTAGGGAGGGGAGAGTTACGTCAAGTTATGTCAGCACTTTTGCCAGAATCTAATCTTCAAATCTATAAACCCTTTGAACAATAAAGTTAGTAAACCTTAGAAGAACTTGGTAATTTACATTTTATTAAACAAACCACAGGAAAACCAGTCACACCCAGTTTAATAACGAATGGAAATGTATTGCCATTACCACAAGAAAAGGTTTTTTTTGCATGTTTCCACTGGTAGTTTTATGATTTTCTTTGTTGAGGAGTGCCAAGAATTGAAGATGGAAGGCCTCTGTGCTATCACCCTAATGTTTAGCTCCCTCTTCAGATTCAGTATGGGTTTCTGGTCTGCCCAAAATCCTTAATATCGACTGCAGTCAGAAAATAAAAACACTACTTCAAACCTAAATTTGTCAAGAGGATGAAAAACTTTAGATTCAACTGTAGTTGCTATTCTATCTATTCCTCACATCCTCTTGGAAGAATATATTTTGTCAGTTTATCACCATCCAAATTGCACACTAGTTCAAAATAAATACAGTTCTGTGCTTTAATTTTCCCTATTTCTTCCCTGCAGGCTTGACGATGGGTTGCGTCAGGAGTAAAGAAGCCAAGGGCCCAGCGCTGAAGTACCAACCTGATAACTCCAATGTGGTGCCAGTCAGTGCTCACCTGGGCCACTATGGTCCAGAGCCCACAATCATGGGTCAATCACCAGCCATGAAGACCCAGAACAACAGCCACCCGGCTGCCCTCGCACCTTTTGGTGGAGTTTCTTCGGCCATGACCCCCTTTGGTGGAGCCTCGACATCGTTCACTTCCGTGACTGTGAACAACCCCTTCCCTGCTGTGATCACAGGTCCGTTTTCAAAGGCTGCCTCACAATATGTTTCATTTAGGGGAAACATAATTATCTTAAGTTTATTTGCTATTTCTTCACCAACACCTGCTGGTTTCTATCCTTTAGGGATTGAAGATTTTTACTCTGCCTTGTTTTGACTTTTCCTTCTGTTCTCGATTCATCTGAAACAACTGCAGCTGAGCATTTGTTATTCACAGGGTGTTAGACAAGGCAGATGTTATGCAAATTAGACATTTGAAATGAGTGAGGCAAAACACAAAGGCTGAAGAGAAAACAAAAATAGGTCTGTGATATGGGAGGCAATGCACGCATTCCCTTTTTCCTCCAGTCAGGAGAAATATAATGCACAAAATTCATTGACGTCCTTCATGCATGTTAAAAGTTAGCAGTGGGTCGGAAATTGAGATGAGCTTTTGTGGCTTTATCATTATAGCAGTACTTAGAGGGAAATGTCACAACAAAGAACATGTTCTTGCATGTTGATTTATCCAACATGCAAGTTATGTCGTGTTGATTCTGTATCTATGGAAGTTAAAAGTTTGATGAGGGAGTGATGTCACACTCAGATCTTGTGTTTGTCATATGAGCAATTAGCGTGATTAGCTTTTTCAACTTTGAACAGTAGACTCCATCTGTTCTTTCTAAAACAGGACTTTGACTTTAAGATCCAGTGCTCTGCATGTTTAAGCTGTGTCTCTGGTTCAGAACACCTGAATCAGATGACTGGTTCTGAAGCAGGCTACAGCAGAACTTTTACATGCTAGTAGTTTGAATCATGCATGTTGGTATAGTGACACGTCCACAATATGGAGCATTCTGGCTCATGAGGACTGGAGTTGACCTCTTCTGTCATAGAGAATGTTGACCCGTACCTTTACTTTGAAATTTCTCAAAGTCTCCCAACATTTCCAAAATGTGGACGTTCCTTGACGAGCAGAACTCCAGGCAAGCTCAAAAGGGTTACGCTGTGTAACTTTTCTGTACTTTGTTCAGCCTTCCTCATATCAGCTGAAGTTTTGCTCATTGTCACGGCTAGCGTGCTTTATTCCAAAAATTGCTTTTACTGAAAATGGCTAATTTTGAGCCTTCTTCCTTGAAAGCAAGCTTTGACACATAGGAGTATTGGTAGCTTGACCTGTTAATTGAGTTATAGTGTATTACATTTTCTAACTGCCAGTCGCTTTTGAGGCCTTTCTGTAGTTTTCTAGTCTTGGCAGTCAGGTCACTTTCAGACATTGGGTTAGTGAGAAACTTCCAGCTGTCAAATGTGCTATTCTAGAGGGTATTTTGGTCCTCATTTGTTGCTGTAAGTTGTATTTTTGTTCCCCACAACATATCTTAAAATATTTTATCATAAAAGAATAAGATTGCAGGATTCATTCATAAGACAAGTTTGAGATATGCTGTGGGAATAATCTGCGTCCCCAAAGAGTTCCTAAAACAATAAACAAGATAAATCACAGCTGTATTTTTAGAGCACACTCTGGCCCACAGGAAGTGGAATACTTCAAAACAGAAATATTTTATCTAAAATATAGGATTTATTATTTGATCAGTTGAAATTGATATTTGACCGACTAATTAAAAAAAAATTAATATAAAGTGGAGGGTAAAGGTGGAAAATTTATTGTATTTACCGTATATTATTTTTAGATACTTAAGCCTCAGTTTTTGTTTTTTAGGTGGAGTGACCTTTTTTGTCGCCCTCTATGATTATGAAGCAAGAACTTCAGATGATCTGTCATTCAGAAAAGGGGATCGCTTTCAGATTATCAACAACACGTGAGTACTTGTATTTTTACAGGGGATGACTAAAGCTGCTGCGTGGTTGTGTCTGTTCGTGGTTTCCTATGTGCTCTTTTCAGCTTTTTCTTTAATCCCTTATTGAATTGAGGTCTGATATCAGGGCTGAGAACTGTCTGGGTTAATGGCTTTCGTTAATGGAGCATCTGTTAAGTTCCCATTGCTTTTCATCTGCACTGGCACAGACATTTTTTCTGAGTGGATAAAATTAGGGTTATGCTGTTTAACTCAATAACATTAACCTGACATATTTTTTGTAAAAAAAAAAAATAACATGCATTTCAGATACTCTGGAGTATTGGAATATAGTCAAATATAAAGCTCATCAATGTAATCAACATTACAAAATACCTGAACAATGTGGATTATGCGTGCAAAAGAGATGATAAATTACTCAGAGAAAACTAATTTTTGCCATGTCCCCATCAGCTGCTGCTCCATAATCTTTTCCCACGTGTGCACAGCTGAGAAAATGGGCAGTGCTCCAAGAAGACTCTCCTCAGTTCATCACATGGCTCTTCCCTTCCCACCGCTGTCTGCCTCACATGGCTTTTATAGCGATGAAAATGCCATCTGCTTTCAGAGCAGAGGTGGGGAGAGTACAGATTAAGCCAAGTTCTGTCAAAATGCCACTAGACGCACAGTCTCTACGTCCCTGCTCCTCCCATCTTAATTTAAAATTTGAGTATTAAGATAATTTAATTATGTACAACAGATATTTAAGAGCATTAAAAAAAAACAGCTGATGAATTTAAAACAGAAAATTTATATAGCTATGTTGTTCGAGGTTCTTGCTTAACAAGATATATCTGCAACTCCCATATTTGTCCATCCTAGTTTTTCTAGAGTTCTTTCTAAGTAAGTAAAAACTTTGCAGCCCTCCTTTCAGCCAGCAGACCTGCAGTGTGTAGCAACGAGTGCGAGAGAGGAACCAGTCGAGTGTTGGTGGAGGGCCACTGCTCTGCAACTTTTAGATGTGCCTCTGCTGCACCACACTGGAATAGAATAATTAGGTCATTAGAACGTATCTACGCTCTGGAGAACGTATCTACACAAGAAGGAGGCGATTAAGCCATTTCATTCCAGTGTTTTGAACCTGTGGCACATCTAAAAACTGCAGGACAGTGGCCCTTGAAGACTGGAATTTGACACCCCTGCATTAGAGGGATAATAACCCCCGGCCCCCTAAAAAATAGAAGTGATTTAGCAGAATGGCTGTTACTTTTATTTTTTTTCTAAATTACTTTATAAAATCTTTATTTATCAAAAATAGGCTGGGTCCCTAAACAGCCCCAGGATGCTTTTGATGCCTTGTTGTAAAGTTGTCTTTAAGAATTTAATATCAACATTTTCACCACATGACACTTTTCAAAACGGTACAAAACATAATTTTAACATTAATAAGACCAGCAGGAACAAAACAGTTAACCCATAACCATAAATACAAAGATTATTGCTTGACGGTTGCTTTATTTCCATTTTAAGTCTTGTTTGGATGCTTCTATCTGCAGAGCTGTCATCAGGTTTAGATGAGAAAAGCAAGGCTCTACCTCAAGGCCAAACTCCGCCCCAAAAGAATATGAGTGACGCATGAAATGGCCTTGCTTCTTTTTATCTTCATGCATGCTGTGCAGTCTTAACACGAGAGTGGGTGGATTTTTCTCCAATGCTTTTGTTTGTTTAATATTCTTCTTATTGGTGATTTACTTGCCTCCTCAGGGAAGGTGACTGGTGGGAGGCCCGCTCCATCAACACTGGAGAGAATGGTTACATCCCCAGCAATTATGTGGCCCCAGCCGACTCCATACAGTCTGAAGAGTGAGAAGCCAAATTACTACTTTTTCAAGCATTTTCATAAAACTTTAGATTTGACTTGTTAGTCTCATGTTTACCAACTTCTCTACTGATTTCCCTCTGTTTAATATTAAAAAATGCCTGGTTTGGAATGAGGAAAAACAACATATTACTTTTGTTTTCCTATTGTTTAGTTCCTCTGGTGTGACAACAATTTTTTTTCCCTCTTTAGCTCTGACAGTTTTATTAATACCAGATGCTTTAAACACTGGGGGGGAAAGCAGCCAATTTACTTTTACCAGACGTCTAAAAAAACTCAAGTGAGCACCTGTTATCAACGGGATGCGATACCGCCTAATGAAACAACTGACTGAACTCATTGATGTGTCTGGAAATAGACTGTGCTCTGTTTTTCAAAGAAGTAAGATTGTATAGAGCTGCAAGCTTATTTCTTATTTATAGAAATAAACAATTTTTGAAATCTCTAAATATTTATTAGATCGGGTTATAACCAGTAGTGCCTGTAGCGTGCGCAATATTTACTTGCTACCCGCATATTAGAAGGCCCCCCCTCAAAAAAAAAAAACATCCATTTTTAATACTGCATGAACTAGACAGGTATCCAGCTTTCAGACATTGCATCACAAATGTGTACTTCTTCTGTTGATAAGAACATCTTGCACTGGTCTACAGTTTGTTAAAGTTTTTGACTCCCTCCTCTTCCGCAGGTGGTACTTTGGGAAACTGAGCCGAAAAGACACTGAGCGTCTCTTATTGCTACCAGGAAATGAAAGGGGTACTTTCTTAATAAGAGAGAGCGAAACAACAAAAGGTAGGAAAATACGTTAAAAAAGAAACTAGGTAAAGAAAAACCTTTATATCGCTAGTTGGCTGAAATGCAATGAATTTTTTGACTCTTCTGTTTAGATTAAATTTAGAAATGCAAACTTGCTCCTCAATTTACATCTGGTGACCTGCATTGTTCCAGTATTTATCTGTCTTTGCTGAGATCTGCACTTAACTTCATGTCTTTGGATTTTAAAGGGGCCTACTCTCTCTCTTTACGTGACTGGGATGAAACAAAGGGAGACAACGTCAAACACTACAAGATCCGCAAGCTGGATAATGGGGGTTATTACATCACTACACGAGCGCAGTTTGTGTCACTACAGATGCTGGTGAAACACTACACAGGTATGCTGCCTTGTAAAGCCTTTTTCTCAGGTAGCCATTACACAAATATTTGTTCATGTTGTGAACAAAATACCTTGGGTTAAATTGCTTTTTCTTGCAGCCTGTCATGTCTTGTGTTTGTTGGTTATGTAAGTGGGATATGAATGTAATTAGTGAAACGGGGTGGTGTTTTTGAAGCTGAAGTATTGAGCATTTATGGACCACGTTTTAAGTGCTGGCAAAGAAGGAAAGACATGAGAAATGGTCATGGAGAAGGAGTGTTATTTTGGAATTGACCTGCCATAGATTGAGGTCATATTTAAATCGTTCAGACTACCTCCATCTGCAGAGGAAAATATTATTCACACATGGAAATCGTATGAAAACTTGAACATTTTATCGGGAAAGAATAGAAAATAAACCATGCTCAAAGACGAGTCAAGAGCTGGTGAAGCTTGACAGAATTTTGTTAGTATGTAAAAAGTGTTGAGGGGTTATAAATGAGCAAAGCAAAATGGGATAAAAAGAGCTACCACTGGAATGCATCTTAAAAATGTAATGGCAAAATGATTCGTATTGGTAAAGTTGCATTCTACAAAAGTCTTTGTTGGATTTAATAAAACAGAATTAGACAAACAGAAAAGTACTTTTTTAAAATGAGACATTTTAGTGGTACTTCATAAAGTTAAGAAAGTCATGACTAGTCATGTTGATCATAATCTATGAACTGAAGCAAATTTGAAAAGAAGACAAAGTAAACATTATTCTAAAACTAGAGATTGAATTTCATAAAAAACACTCTTCTTTTAAGTTATTTTATTGTAGAGGTGTATTTCACGTCACAAAGATTGGCTAGAAATACACTTTTGGTGCTGTGTCACACAGCAAAGCCCAATAGTATCCATATGCCTGACAGAGTCCTAACTTTAAACTGATGAAGAATCTGTGGCAGGAACTAAAGAGAACTCACCAAGGATAAGCAGTAAATATTTATTGGTCAGAAGTTATAAAAGGAGTTTGGTTGTTTTTTGTGACTGAAGATTTTTTTTCATTTTCCTTTTTTTTTTTCCCCCCCAAAAGTCCTTCACCACTGTTTTATTGGCCTTTGAGATATGTCAGTCTCATTTTCTACAAGACCCAAAACTTTGTGGTTGAAAACATTAAAATCTTAAATGTTATGAATTTTTAATGAGCAGAAGACCTCGTTAACATAATTGAGACATCGACTCACTGATCCACACCACCAGGATCTACAGCACGGACATTGGGATGTCATTCGGACTCGAGAAATGTGGTCGGCTGGTCACAAAGAGGGGGAAGGTCATCTGCACAGGAGGGGTCTCACTCCCAGAAGGAACAATAGCAGACATAGAGGACAGTTACAAGTACCTAGGTATACCATAAGCAAATACCATAGAGGCCCAGATCTACCACACCAGACAAGACCCAAGGTGTAGGTTGTGCAAGGAGGCCCCTGAGACAGTCCAGCACATAACAGCAGGGTGCAAGATACTGGCAGGGAAAGCGTACATGGAACGACATAACCAAGTGGCAGGCTTAGTGTACAGAAACATCTGTGCAGAATATGGACTGGAAACCCCGAGATCAAAGTGGGAAACACCCCCAAAGGTGGTGGAGAACGCCAGAGCTAAGATCCTGTGGGACTTCCAGATCCAGACAGACAGAATGGTAATGGCGAACCAACCAGACATTGTCGTAGTGGATAAACAACAGAGGAAAGCTGTTGTGGTAGATGTAGCAATACCAAGTGATTGCAACATCAGGAAAAAGGAGCACGAGAAAACTGGAGAAATACCAGGGCCTCAGGGAGGAACTGGAGAGGGCCTGGAAGGTGAAGACCACAGTGGTGCCTGTGGTCATCGGGGCCCTCGGGGCAGTAACCCCGAAACTGGAGCAGTTGCTACAACAGATCCCAGGAACATCATCAGACATCTCAGTACAGAAATGTGCAGTCCTTGGCACAGCTAAGATACTACGCAGGACCCTCAAGCTCCCAGGCCTCTGGTAGAGGACCCGAGCTCAGAGGATAAAAACCCCAATGTTTCAAGTAATAAACACTAACTGTGTGTTCAAAAATTCTGTACTCGATGGCGCTCAAAATCATTTTTGATCTCCTGGCAGAAGCCAATTTTAAAAGAGTGGTTATATTCAGGATTTAATTCATCTGTCAGATAATGAATACAACTTGTTGGTTTTCCACCTTTTTCTCAATTGAATACAAAAAAAAAAAAAAACACGTGTTTAGGTTCTGTTTCATCCTATTTGACTATTGTTCCCTTGGTCCATCATGACTGTTTTGTAACTCCAGCTGTTTATCTTATTTTATTTTTTTCTCAGAACATGTGGACGGTCTGTGCTACAAGCTGACCACTGTGTGCCCGACGGTGAAGCCGCAAACTCAGGGACTTGCTAAAGATGCCTGGGAAATCCCCCGAGAGTCTCTCCGATTGGACGTCAAACTGGGACAGGGCTGCTTCGGGGAAGTCTGGATGGGTATTTTTTTCTGTGCACTCAAGCATAAGACTGAATGTCAGAGATTAATTGGGTAAACTGTGATGCGCCTGAGCTTACTGTAAATACACTTGGTACTTACCGTAGAGCAAGTGACTCAGCTAGAGACTTTCTTCTGGCTTCTGGAGGCGGGTTTGAAAGGAATATGTCAGTAGCTGTTTTTCTTAGTTCAGTGGAGTATTTTTACTGTAAAAAGTCATCTGAAAGTGGAAAAAAAGCAACTTTTGTAAATATTCTCAGCTAACTTTTATAGAGTGCATTTTCTTCCAAGCTTTTTCAATCTCTGTTTTATTCATTTCGGTGTACAGTTCCATAAATATCATTGCTTTTGTCAGAGTTGCACATGACGATTAAAACACAGCAGCTTTGCTGTTCAAGTGGACTCTTGTCCATTTGCAGATTGACTCTACTAATGGATGTTTCTGTGTAACATAACTCCAAATTATTCGCAGAATATTTGTGTATTTTTTTTTTTGGAGCATATCTACAATTTTGATAATGAAATGTAGCTTGACATAGGCACAGTGCGACCTTCCATGCCAGTGGCTGGCATTTGCAAAGCAGCACCTGATGCTCCCATTGCTACAGCATGATGCTGACAGTGGGGTGTTCAGAGTGATGGTTCACATATTTATCTGCTAAAACCACGTTTCAGTCATTAAAATCTAAGTTTATTTCCATTTTGTTCTGTAGGACACAAAGGGATTAATTTGTTTCCGCAACACTTAACTATTCAAGTTGTACTTCCCATGTCAGCAACACTTGAGGACAAATCTACTTAGTGGTATTGATACTCCACACTTGGCTTATGAATAAGTAAAGAAGGCAAATAGCTTTGTTGGCATACAGTAACGCAGCCATTAGGGCTTACACACAGAGATAAAGCATCCTCTTTACATTATTCATAGCTGATGCAGTTTTAATGTGAAACATGGATGATGTGTGTAAACTCTGTTTAATTGGTGTGTGTCAGTAATGAAGCTGATCATCATGCTGCTTCACCAACCCGCATAGTGAAGGCTGCTGTTTGATAGCTGTTGGCTCTTTTTGTGACACGCAGAGTTCTGTAACCACAGGTCATGTCATACGCTTCATTTCTCCAGCCTACATTTCAGACAGGCCCCTCTGAGCGAACACGACTCTTGTCTTTAACCGAGGCTGGCTTGCAGCAAGTCTCGACATGCAAGCCTCAGCTGGGTAATCCCAGGAATTTCATTCTGCCTCTCCCTGCTCTGTTTGTTCAGGATTTCTCCCGCTCTGCTGCAACTTTTTGCTGTCAATCTTCCTTACTCTATGCTTCTGGAGCATTTGTACTGTCACTCTGATTGCATGCGGAATGTATTTTGCCCTACTTTGTCCTTCAGCTTGGTAGAGTTTGGTCAGTATGAGTCATCTATAAAGGCCAGCCTCGGCTCATTGTACGTAAGCAGGACATGAGTAAGCCGGTCCCAACCAGGAAGTGGCTGATGTTTTTTTTATACACATGGGACAACTCCAAGAAATGAGCAATATCAAAGGATCATATTACCGTTAGTCATTTTATGTGCCTCAGAGGAAAATGTTATTGATTATGCCTTATCTTTTTTGTTGTTGTTTTTTACCCAGGCACATGGAATGGAACCACTAAAGTGGCAATTAAGACGCTGAAACCAGGGACCATGTCCCCAGAGGCGTTCCTGGAGGAAGCTCAGATCATGAAGAAACTCAGACACGATAAGTTGGTGCCGCTTTACGCCGTGGTGTCTGAGGAGCCTATTTACATCGTCACTGAGTTCATGGGTAAAGGTAAGCAGAATTCAAAGGCATAAGTTGGAAAATGTTATACCTGATTTTGATGCACCTTACAGATTTTTGTACCGAACCATAATTTTTCATAAAGTGACATACTTGCCTCCTTTAAAAATATATTTCATAAAACAGTTTGTGCAAGGCAGACACTTGCCGCATAAAAAGGTGTCTAACTGCTTTTTTTTGTCTCTGACAATTCCAAATAGCCTTTTAGGTCAGTTGACATTAGCAATATTAATTAGGTTTGCTTAATACCTGAATGAGATATTGTTCAAAACATCTTGTAGCTTTGTCCATATTCAGAAGTTTATATGCACTAAAAAGACTAAACAAAAGTTAGAAATCTTACGTAGAACTTAGACTTTGTCGTAGTGGGAAACAATATGCTAGTTTATACATTGCAACCTGGAAGGTTGTTGCTGTATTGTGAAAAAGAGCAAGACTTCCCTCCTTTCAAACAAACATCTGGACATTAGGATAAATGACATTTGTTTTTTTTTGCCCTTGCCGCTTTAACTTAATATCCGCCGGGATTTTGTCAGCACAGCATTTCTAAATGCTGTCATCAGCTGGAGCACTGCTAACGGCATGCGCCCCTCATTGACCATATGGCTAACTGAGATATAACAGGGGTTGTTTTAATGCAAAGCGACAGTTTATTCTTAACAGCATCATTTTATTCTGCAAATAGGCTGAATATGATGTATTCCAGACTGCGGATTGACCAGCTGGTGATTACTTCTACATGTTTTGTTTTTTTTTCTCCTCCGTCTTGCACATTTATCTTGCCAACCATTCATTCCATAATAAATCTCAATCAGTCCTGACAGCTTGTCCTTGCTTAAAGGTGACACCTCCTCCCTCCAGCAGACGGTTTTTGCTCTGATTAAGCAAGAACACTTGCATAATGTGCAAATAATGTGCAAAATTTATTGTTAGTTTCAAAAGTAAAATATATGTAAGGTGTAAAGATTTGCTGCATAAATTGTTTTCATCAGTATCTACACACATAAAATAAAAAATATATCCTATATTCATGACCACAACTGCATTACCAATAATGAAAGTCGTATACCACCATTTTTGGAAGTTGAAGAACCTGTACTGTATTGTGATTTCTCTGCCTCTGTGTTAACAGAAGCCAATTTAAAGTTGGTGATTAACTGCTTCTTTAAATATGTTTTGCTTTTCTAAATGACTGCCGCAGAACATTCTCACACCTTTGAGACTTGAAGATCAAGCAAAATTTATTTATAAAAGGTGTGGTTTTCTTTGCTAAAATAACAAGTAGAAAATTATTTTAAACATTCTCCCACGTATAATGATTGTTTTGTGCTGTTTAACCTTCCATCAGTGTAACTTATGATCATTAAGTTGGATTTAATGTTTTGAGTTTGGTTACAAAGTAAAAGAAAAGTATATTTATTTTTAGTTGCAAAGATTTATATGAGGATTGAGATTGGTGGAAAACAAGTCCCACATTATCCGTGCCAAAACTTTCATGTGTCCTCCTCCTGTTTGCTCTATCTTTTGTGGTTGGTGCTGCATTACCTTTGTACACATAGGTGTGTTGATTTTGCTTAAGTGTAGTGTGTTTTGTTTTTTTTTTTTTTTTGTACTTCTTACAGGTAGTTTGCTGGACTTTCTGAAAGAAGGAGATGGAAAACATCTGAAGCTTCCGCAGCTGGTGGACATGGCTTCCCAGGTACTGTGAATAAAGCATTTAATCATATGAAATTATTTCCTGTGCTGTACTATAACCATCATGAAGGAGAGAATTTTTATGCTATAGAAATAAATAAACTGTATAAAACCAGTGAAATATGGTGGTGGCAGTATTATGGAGAACTCCACATATTGATACGTCCTCCCATTATTTTGTGCTGCAGATCGCAGACGGCATGGCCTTCATTGAGAGAATGAACTACATTCACAGGGACCTCAGAGCTGCCAACATTTTAGTTGCGGACAACCTGGTCTGTAAGATCGCAGACTTTGGCTTGGCTCGACTCATAGAGGACAACGAGTACACGGCTCGTCAAGGTGGGTGTTTGGACCTTCATGCCACTGGAGCACTCAACATGACCGCTGATGTACTTTCAAGACTATCATTTAATACCTTTGAAAGACTGCTTTAGATTAAGCTGCACCTTCTGGATGCCTCCCTTCTCAACAGGATTGGGTCTGTTGTCATAAAAGTGAGATCAGACCCAATCCTGTAGAGCTGTCTTTGGGGTAGATTTCTTCCTGCTTCTGTCTGATTTGGTTCTGGTACCAGCAACATCTAAACAATCAAACCAAACGCATCCAGAAAGTTTCTCATGGTTACTAAAAGAATGTTGTTTCTCTTTAAGTTGCTTAAGAACCTTTATCCAATTATTAAGGGTGTGGTATATATTATTGTATTTGAAATGTGTAATCAGTCTGGAATAGATAAAAATGTGCAGTAAAATCAAAGCTGCATGTTGTATATAAACATCTCGCCATAAAAATTGGTAGGCGTGAAATGATACCCGTCTTAATGTTTCTCCTATTTTATTATTATTATTCTTGTACATTTAGCTCTTTTCTGGCCTCATGCTTAGAATTTTAACTTAATATTTTTTTCTGTTTTCTTTTTTTCCCTCAGGTGCTAAATTCCCCATCAAGTGGACGGCCCCAGAAGCCGCTTTGTACGGTCGCTTCACAATCAAATCAGACGTGTGGTCGTTTGGAATACTACTGACAGAGTTGGTAACAAAGGGCAGAGTTCCATATCCAGGTAAGCAGAACATGGATGCACATACACATGAAAGAAAGATGACTAATAAGGATATGCTGCCTCAGAATTGCCTCCCCCCCACGCCTTGATATTTTAATTCTGTCAATTAAATCTTTTATTATCTCTCCTGTGTGGATCAGAATAGAAATGAGTTTAACAGGTGTGAGTCAGAGCTGGTATCCTGTGACTCAGGGGAAAACCCCTCTACCAATATGATCGCTTTCTCCCAGTCAGAGCACGCTGAGCCTGGTTGTCTGTATGCGCTTTTATCAGCGTTCTGAATTCAGCCCATCCTAACCACCAGGTCAGCCTGCCAGACCATCTGGCTACGGTGGCTTTGCTTTCACTTCAGATCATTCAGTTTAATTAATTCTGCCCTTGTTTCCTTTTTAAGCCGTGATGTACACTTATTTTATTTTTTCTTCTTTTCTTTTGTGTGTCTGGGGAAGGGGTTAATTCTCTAATCCAATGTTCTGATGCATATGTTGAATCAGAGCATGACATTGTTTTCTCTTTACATTACCTTTGTTGTAATAAATATATCTGAACATGGATGACCAAACATTTAGTTCGGAGTTCAGGTTTTAAGATGAAAGCCATAAATCATGCTAACACCGTAGCATCCGGCATACCACCGGGCTATCGTATCCCAGAATCAGCAGCTGCTCTGAGCCCTGCCGCTCTCTCTCCCAGTGTGAGATAATCTGATCCCCACTCTCCCACAGTGGAGTGGAGGGGAGGGGGATGAGGCCACGGCCGTGCCACTGATTCCGTCATAACCTCTTTTAGCTGCAGTTGAGCTCCCAACGGAGCGGTCTCTGTGCCGTGTCACAGGGTGCAGCATTGCTGTCTTCCTGTCTCAGAGCGGAATCCACGGCTCAAGGATAAAGCAGCGCTGATTGGCATTCTGCTTGACACCAATGCTGTTGGTGACAAACAGCAGCATGTTAACCATTCTGGGGCATCTATGCTAACACTCCTAACAATGTCTTTGGTCTGTCAGAGCTGCAGGTCTCTCAGGAAATAACAACCCAGCTTCCTGTCAGGCCACTCAGGTTTTCTGAAACTGTTCTTTTTAAGACAGTGGTTTCTGTGGTAATTTTTCTAGCCAGTTGACAGAAATACAACAAATTGTGTTGATCATCTAATCAAATAAATCTTCTTGACATTATAACATTTTCCATGTTTGCGTTGACTATTTGAGGATAGTGTTGATGCAGATTTGAAAAACATGTGTTAACCAAATTTTTCCATCCCCACAACTGATCTTTTTTCCTGCTTCTGCTCCACATTTGTTTTTTTTTTGTTTGTTTTTTTTTCTCCGTCTGAGATCTTTACCATCTTTACCGGTGGTCAGTCAGTCTTCTTGTATGTATGCTGTTTTATAAAAGCAAACCAAACATGTTTTTTCATACAAACAAAACTTATAAGTATCTTATTGAGATTTTATTTGACAGACCAACACAAAGTAGTCCATAGAGCCATGTAGGACCAAAAAACAAATCTGTCTGGAGCTGCAAAAAATTAATGAAGACAAATCAAAATGACTAAGTGTATATATAATTAGCATGCATAATTAAATGTTCATTTTCCCTGTAATGTGTCGTGGAAGGACATGGCATTTTTATTATGAAGATCGACAGGGAAAAGGTCTTTTCTTTTTTCCTTTTGGAACTCAGAAAATCTGCTTTGTTACTAAATATATGAGCCTATATGGCAGGATTGTGTTCTACGTGTTTAATGTGACTTTGGGAGGTACAGTAGTGATTGGACTAACCAACTTTGATTCCATTAATCAAACCCAAATTTCCCAAATCAGAAATTCCCTAAACAACCCTAGAAGTGCAAGCCTTACTTACCAGAATGTATTTCTTCAATATACTCATTTTGATTCTGTGTTACTCAAGGCATGGTGAACAGAGAGGTACTGGAGCAGGTGGAACGCGGTTACCGCATGCCCTGCCCCCAGGGCTGCCCAGAGTCGCTGCATGAGATGATGAGGCAGTGCTGGAAGAAGGAGCCAGATGAAAGGCCAACGTTCGAATACATCCAGTCCTTCCTGGAAGACTACTTTACAGCTACGGAGCCACAATACCAGCCTGGAGACAACCTCTAGTCCTGGGATTTAGGTTAAACTCTAAGGTACATTGGTGGAAATCAAAAAATTATTTTTACACAAAAAAGCAATTTAAAAAGTAGGCCATGACAACACTGGCATCTGAAAATGATTGTCCCTGATGTACAATGGGACCAAGTGTGCAAATGGTTATATTAAGCTCTGGGAAACTATCAAAATAAATTCATGTGAGCTGGCCATAACACTGTGATACAAACAGACAGATGGACGTGTGTTTTTTTTTTTCCTCTCTAAACTTTTTTAAATGATGGTTTTCTCCCACCTTCTTACAAATTCCCTTTTTATTGTTAAGTCAGATTTTTTAATCTGAATCCAGATCTTTTATATGAACTATTGTTTGGTTTGAATCCGTAAGTGGATTAAGGACGTCTTTCTAAGCGACCAATAACTGGTTAACTTGAGTATGTGATTTGAGTGTAAAGTATGTGGCTAATTAAATAAAAAGGTCTGCTGAATGGATGTAAGAATGTACTGAGAGATCAAAGCTGATGTACATACAGTTTATATTAAAACCATATTTTTAGCAGGTGTGACCAGATGGACAATTCAGGATAAGAGCTTGGTTTTATATGATTTTAACTTGAACTGAAAACTCAGTTTTTCCTTTTTTGCCTTTCGTTTTTTGTCATTTTAATTTGGTAATCCTAAAACAACATTTTGATAATTTGCATAGATCTTTTTTTTTTCTAATCTTTTTTTAAAAGGAACAATTTCTATGAATGAACTTTGAACTGTGCAATTAGGGGAAAAAAAATCTGATTTAATTTCTCAAATTTTCAACTTCACTAATAAACTTTTTTTTTCTTTTTTTGCTTTGAGTTGCTCACAATTAAATATCAGTTTCAGGAAGCTAATTTATTAGCAACATACAGGGAAGACTTTTGGTAAATGTGTAAAAAAAAAGACCTTTCAAATAAGTTTAGCTCTTTTATTTGTTTTTTTTAAATAAATATATATTTCTAGTTGGTGTTGAATTTCTAATTGGCAATTTATGACACCCAATGTAGGGTGGATTCAGGAATTTACATTTTGTGGCTTCCCTAAAGATACCTAACAAATTTATTTAATTTTAAAAGTCACATTTATTTATTTATTTGTTTTAGATAAATGATATACTTTTTAAATTGATCAAAACATTGAGGAACGTTTAACTTTAGCTCATAAGTTCCTGTTTTTTTTTTTTGGAGCACATGACTTTACATTTTTAATAAACTCTCTTCAAAATGGGAAAGGTGCGTGAACATGGTTAGTTGGTTAGTTATTGTAACCAAGGTACAACTTGGTTACAATAAGTCACATGTATATTCTTAGGAACGTCTCCAGTCAAAGCAAAGTTTAAAATGACAGAAACTGTTGCAGGTTTATCATTCCACTCTCACACAGCGAGGATGATGGGAACAGAGGTTAAAAAATAGAAATCTTCAAAATTCTACTGTTAACAGCTAGTATGAAAATATGGTACTGCAAATAAAAGATGAACTTATTTTGAGCTTTTTTACACATGTGAAGAGGTTCTGTACTTGAGTATGACATTTACCTCCACTTTCACTCATAACCTAATCTAATAAAACTCAGATAACAGAAGCACATAACAGAAACTCTGGCTGAGTCATGGCTTAGTTCTTTAATAAAAATCTCAAAGTATGTTTAAATTCTCACAGGTACAGAATCCTTGAAAGTATGGGAAATTAGACAATATTGAAGATGTGATTTTTTTTTTTTTTCTTTCTGTGCATCATTCATGTAAGAAATTGTCCCTTAAGAATGAGACCTGATCTAGTGTGGGTACACATGACGAAAGTTGCGAATGTTCACTAATATGATTTTGTACAGAATAAAATAAAATGATAAACTAAAGGTTACATGTAGCTTTCATGTGTTTAACATCCACTAAAAAAAATCAGAAAAATCATTTCACTTGGTCTGTGAGTAGGACATATTTTGTGAAGTTACACTATATAACAAAAAGAAAACTCCGATAAATATTGGCTACAGCTGTAGTGTCTTCGGATATCAACACAAAGATGTTTACTACTATAAAGTGCGGAAAATAAAGAAGACGCAGCAGTGTTACGCATCTTCAATCCTGTTGGGGAAACAAAACGCACTGTAAGCAATAGAGGTCAAGAGTTTATGGTTTGTATCAAAGAAGTGGACCACATTGCTAAAGCTGAGCTGTTGAGCGAGACTCACCTGACCATCTCCTTGTACTTGTCCAGAGCCTCCTGGGCCACGTACTGGATGAAAGCTGGATCGTGCAGCTCCAGCTCCCCTGGGATGTTGAGTGTGAGTGGGGGAGAGTTCAGGACGTTTACTTCCACCTTAGTCTCAGAGGCAGACATGTTTTGCTTCTCATGGCTCTCTGGTGCCACCTATAGAAAGGAAAAGGTAATTGCATTTTCTCTTGCAGACCGATGCATCGCCTTTTTTTAATTCAGGATGTCAATAAAAATGTTTCTGTAATAAATTCGGAACAGAAACACATTTTGATGAAGCTGGTAATCTTCAGCCTGTGATTTCTTGTCTATGAAGCCGAATCATCACATATTGTGACATTTCAGGTATTTGTTTCTGTTAATGCTGATGAATAGCTAATGAAATTCATCTTAGAGAATTTAAATACTACATAAGAATAATAAGAACAGAAGATTTGAAAGGAAATGTTGATTTAGATTTGAACGTTTGCACGTATTACTCCAGCAGGGAGACGGCTGGATTGTGGGTCTGCTGAGATGTTGAGAAAACTTCTGCTGCTTTAAATGTGGTTTTCAGCTGCTCTGCATTGTTGGCTCTGATGTTTCATCTCCCTTTTGACAAGACTTCACAGAATCTCTGTGGGGAAACGGCATAAAATGTAAAATTCCCTGACTGATGGTTGCACTTTCTTTGGACATGTTGCAACATAGTGAACCAACACCAGCTGATGATTTGTTGCCCTAAAGTGTGGACACTTCACACTGAGCATAGAGCAGCTTGAATTCTGTACTTCTGCACTCTTCCTCCAGACGCTGGGATGTTGTCTAGATAAGATGGTAAATTTACTTTCATATAACACAAGGACTTTGAACAACTGAGGAGCAGTCCACTCCTTTTTTCTTAATTCAAGAAGAGATGCTTCTCATGTTGCTTCTGCTTCTAAGGGATGAATGGCATTGGAAATGCAGCAGATATAACAAATATTTTAGATACAGTGACTCTTAGAGCTCTGTAGAAAACATTAATAAATTCAGCAGCACAAATTGAAATTGCTTTAAGGGGTACAATCAAAGCTGCGAAGAATGCAGGGTATAAATTTGTAGGAGTTGTAAAAGAGTAAGCATCTCTGTTCGTCTTGATATTCATGCACCTTTGTCCACCACAGGTTCTCCTTCCACTAAACTTTTTGTCATGTTTGAATGCAGCACTCCGGGAGCAGCTAACTTCTTTACCAAACATCTTCCAGATGATGTCTGTGATTGTTTTGTCTTCCCTACGGTTTTCAGATTTTTACCTGTTAAATTGAATTGCTGAAATAAATTCACTTATGAAACATGGAGAAAACTTGATTCAATGCATATTCACAGCTTTTTCAATTATTCTTTTGCCTCCTTTCAATTGTTCTGTTGCGTGTTTTTGTCAACCCTGCCGACTCACCATTGTGATGCGGAAAACATTTTGAAGAGTGCTGTTGTTGCTCACAGCCTGAGCCACCCAGCTGAACTCGGTTGCCATGTTGGTCAGCCACATGACCGTCTCATCGGTGTGATGCTGGACAATGGACAAGATCTCATCATATTGCTGTTTGGAGACATCCAGCAGCTGGGATATTTCATCCAGCTCCACATGCAGTTCACGAACACTGGGGCACTCTGTGGTGAAATGAAAGCATGAGCTGTGGTGTGTAAAGGTGTCAGCTGGACACAAGTAATACATTTTGAGTGAAGAGGCGATTCACCGGTGAGCAGAGCTCCCTGGCAGGCCTGACACTTGTTCTGAAGCTGCCAGCACTCTGATGTCTGCCTGCGGAGGTCTTTGCACAGCTTCCTGTTCTGCAGGAAGCGAGGGAAGCTTTTTATCTCTGGACAAAACAGAAAAAAATTGTATATAATTACATCCACACAACTCTGGTCCAATGGCACGTGTATGGCATCGTCAACGTGAAAAGACCTGAGTTACCTTTCTTAGTCTCCTCCTCCACAGTCTGATGGATATCATCAAACACCTGGGTAACCACAGCTCCAAACTCCTCCACCACGCTCTTTCCAAAGTCAAAGAATGATTCCAGCACCTCCTCCAGCCCAACGCCCTGCAGGAAGCCGGAGTCGCGCCCAGGGTAGTATGGATCGGAAGCGCTTTCCTCGGACAGTTCATTGGTGTTGTTCAGGAAAGCCTTCTGAAGGACTCCGTCAAGCCTGCTGCTCATCCTGGAAACCAAGGCGATGCTGCAGTTCACCAGGGTCCCCACCTTGTTCAGAACGCGCTTGAAAGAATTCTCAATCTGAACTACATCTGCTTCTGATTCGTCAGGACTTTGGTTCACCAAGATATCTCCTGCCTCCAGAGGGCGCTCTCTTGGACCAAAGCGTCTGGAGACTCTTTGGAAAAAGGATTCCACCTGCAACACATGAGCGTTATGGCAGTTGGCGTATTTGACTGCTATCCTGCCTTGTAGCTTTAGGCTTTAGACAATTGCAGAGACAATAAATTCAGAGTTAAAATCTGAATTTATTGAAACTTTGTGTTGGGCCCCTATCTGGTTGTTTAATGTCTCGTCTTTGTGGGATAAATGAGGAAATTATTGGTTGTCTGTCTCCACTGTCACATTTTATGATCCGTTTATGAACTGGATTCAACATGAGGAAGATTAGCTTGTATTTTATATTATTTCTTCACTGACGGAAACTGTATTTACACCTTTCAGGCGTCTAAAGACCAAAGAAAACAACTTGTGAGGTAAACTAAGTACTCCAATTTTGCTCTAGTCATTAATGGACACTTGTGATTTTAAAAGAGATGTAATGTAGTGCTGCAAGGTTTTTAAGTAAGCGATTACTAGCTGTTCAGTTATGTTCCAAAGCAAAATAGAAGGTCTCCTCCCAACTTCTTTTGGATTCTTTTTTGACATTGTAAAAAGAAGGTTGTCATACCTTACTGCGAAAAGAAGCAAAGCCCCTGCGGCATGTGGAGGTGTAGAAGGTTTTACATGCATCCTCCAGACAGGGTCTGCATTCCTCCCACTCTGACTGCAGGGAGTCTTTGCACTGCTCCTCTGCCTCCTCCAGCTTCTCACTCACATCCTGTGCTAGCTGGGCTGCCCCCTGGTGGGAGAAATGAAAGCTCGTAACATGTTTTCATCGTCTTTGGATCTTTTTTTTTTTTCTCATTTATGTCAGACAAGTTCTCTCGCCTTTTTCTTGTCGCCACTGTGCTTCAGAGAGTTCATGAGGTGCTCATGCTTCTGCTCATTCCTCCACATCACCTCCCTCATCTGCTTCACGCCATACAGCGCTCTCTTCATCTCCTCATTCACAAGCTTTTCACCATCCTCTGACAGCTCTGAGACAAAAAAAAAAAAAAATTAACACGTCGCAATATTTTCTTTTCTCACACTTACAACCAATTTTAAAGAAATATTTGGAATATATTAAGTCTTTCTTTGTCTGGATGGAAACAGAACTGGGAAAAGATTCTGACTTGCCAACTTACGTTTTAAGATGTCCTCTGAAAAAACATTAATTTGGTCAGCATCAGCAAAACTAAGGCCACATGATGCAGCAACGAGAGTCATCAAACTGAGAAGGAACTTCATTCTATTATTTGTGATGTGATTCAGATGAGTCTGAAACAAAGAAAAGAGAAATTCTTTTATTCATTCATTTTTCTTTGCAGGAGTTTTTTGATGACTGGCAGTAAAAGTCAACTTTATGCATGTCAGAGTGTTTTAAAAAAAAAAATACAAATACAAATCAGAAAATACCCCTGTACTATGACACCCATTAATAAAATACACTACAACTAACTGATGTTTGATGCCACCTCAATGAGTGAATGGAATCCACTTATGTGGAATTTAATCTCGGTATGAATCTGGCTGTTTTGCAAAGGCCTCAAGGTTTTGTTAGAACACATTACATGAAGCATTATTAAGAACAATGAGCAGTCCGGTTATCTATGCTTTGTCTTCAGCAGTCAATCGGTTAGAGGTGGGGGACAATCTGGACTGGTCTTTGCAGTTTTGACATTACAAAATATGGAGAAAAAAAAATCTAGACATGTTAATGCTTTTGTCACTTGTTTGAAATCTGATCAAAGTAATAAAGTTTTAGCTTGACTGTGATTTAAAGCCAGAGGCACTTATCAAATCTTCCACTAGGTGGTGCTACACATTTGCTCACAAAGTATGGTCACTTGGAAATTCTTTTCTCTTGGTTTGATCACGCATGAACATTTCTGTTAATAG